ATTTACATCCACCTGCAAGTACAATATGAATAAAGGAACAAAGCAAGAGAAAAATGCATACAAGCTGAGTAAAGAAAAAAAAATGGTTTCAGGGTGCCACATTACTGGTGGCAAAAGAGGACTCGTTTTGTCAAGGTATGCCGCACATATCCTCCACGGGATCTTTCCGTAATGGTGCGGGCCAAGTGTCGCAACCGCAGCGTGACATATTTTTTGATGACTGCCTTGGCAAGTGCCACCGCATGCATTGGCTCGTCATTGACATGCGCCTGGTTCTGAAAGCTCTCTGCATGTTTTTCGTAAAACGCTCTGTATGCGAGAATGGTCAACACAGTTGCACTGATTTGAGCGGTTCCAACTTCAGTGGCCACTCTGAAGATTTTTTCTGTTTCCTGCAGAAGCTGGCAAACGAGCTCGGAAGGGTACACAAGCCCGCCATTGTCCCTGATGGTAATAAGGACTCCTGTTACGCTATCATCCAGGAGCATACTCACACATGATGGGCAGCTCAGCGTCTTGGTGACCTGGCGGCTGACGAAGCCCCCAATGTATTTCACAACTTCAGAGGTGAACTCTGACAGGGTATCCTCGCCCAACCCATAGACCACGGCCAGATCATCACCCTCTTGGTCGTCCCCAGCATCAAGAGCAGGATTGATGGTACCCTGGCTGACTGTCAGGCTTTCCCCTTCGAGGTCAGCAGCCACATTGGCGGAGTTGGGTGCTTGCACACCAGCGTGTACCAGCAGCTTCCTGTAGGCCTGCCGGAACTGAGCAGCTGATGGGTTATTGTTCCAGCCGCCCCTTTGCCGCACACAGCTGAAAAACATCTCCAGGTGGTCCTGGCTTGTCCGGTAGGAGCACAGGTAGCTAATAGAGGAAGGCATGAGAAAAGACAATTTGTTTAGGAACATTAATTTTGTGCTCAATAGTCTGCTGCAAGTTAAGAGAAGCAGAACAAACTCTTTCAAGAAAGCCCGCCACCTTTTTCACCTTAGTAGAATGAACGTTGGGGGAGGAGCCGAGTGGAGTAGAGAAAACCAGCAATCTTGGTGAGTGCAGAGCTTCTGGAATGGTCTTTTTCTGCTTTACTTAACTTACAGCAGACTATAAATGCGATGGAGTATAGTTACTGTTTTCACTTGCACTAACCTGATTTCACCACCGGTGAGCAGTTGAGTTGCAAGGCTTGCCACACTCTTCAGGGTGAAGGCAAACGCAATGACAGACATGCGCCTGCCGTCTGTCACTGCAGGTTGTCCGCCGGGTAGCTCCAGCTGCATGAGGTTCTGGCCAACCCGCTCCATCATCTGGCTCCTCTCCTGGATGTTGGCCTTGTTGAAGGGACGCTTGTAGGTATGGGCCACAGGACTCCGTGAGTTTAGCAGATCAAAACACCTGGGTAACATGCAAAACCATTGTTTTCCACAATTAACACGTGGAACATTAAGTACAGCCTCACTATAGTATAAGCACGAACAATGGACTTCAGATCCTACCTATCAATGTCCTGGATGAACTTGCACGTTCCCTCACAGTTGCTGAACTCTGGGAGCCCAAGCTCTTTGGCAAACAGAAGGGCCTTGGCGACGGAACTGCTGAGGGTTTGAGCAGCCAACTTGACCTTCATCTTCTGTCGGCAGAAGTCGATGTGGGCTTGTGTGAGTTTGTTGGCAGCACGAAGGCCTTCAGATGTTTGCAGCTCGTGCAGCTGCTCAATGAAGTGCCATTGGATGTGCTGCAAAGTAATAACCATTGGAAAGAACATAATTATATCAACTGGAGCATTTTATTTGGTAACATTAGCATGAAGGTGTAGAGGCACATTTAGAGTCAGTGCCCTCACGTCAACTGCTCTGGTCTCTTGTAATCTTCCTGAATATGTATTCTATATCACTTACTAAACTAATGCAGTGCTTGCAAAGAGCATTTTGTTTTAGATTTTTCTTTTAAAGCTTTACTACATCTGAAGTGGCTAGCACAGAGCATGTGGATCCTGACTCCTAGCATGCCTCTGGCTATTTGTGAATTTTGAAAATGGGCTACTGCACAAGCACTGACCTATTTGTGTATAGTGTTGCAATTTATAATCTCTTTTGACATGTCACTAATTATTTTTAAGCTAGTTCGTCTTGTCATCTAGGAGCAGGGCACTACATACTTTTTATTTTGTTTCAGACTGCTTTTTCTGTGACTACATTAGGTTCATTTTATAAAATTGTGATGTCAGGTTCAAAGAGGCTGCACGTTTGACATTAGTGTGTTGGTTGGCATCGCATTAAGAAGTGCATGAAATGTATACACATGCAATGCAAAATGGTTAATTGGTACTTGTTTTACCAGATTTCTTCAAATGTTTGCTTTACAGCTGCATTTTGCACGTCAAAACTGGAACATAATAAATAAAGGCTGAACCTGCACTCCGTTTAGTGGCTTTGTGCTTGTTTTCGGTTCTCGGGGTTCAAAGTCAGTCTTCTTTTTCTGATGTAGTGGTACTTGTATGTTTTAAAAAGCAATTTAGCTACTATTTACCGCATAGGCTTTTGACTTCAGCACCCTCTTGTCTCCAAGCAGGTTACGGAGAAGCTTGAGGGCATGGCAGGCATCGAAAATGAAATGCACCTCCTCGGTGGGTCGAGTCGGGTGCTCGAATGTCGTCTTCATGTTTTCATAGCTTATTTCATGAACATGGCAGCCCAGCAGCTTTGCCATGGCGACGTTTGCACCCAGTCCATCGCACACCACGGCCTTGACGTGAAGACCGCAATCTTCAAGGGCGACGATGCTCTCTTCAAGGAGGCTCTTAAGAAACAACCCCGACACCCCATTGGTCAGGAAATAGCCGAATGGCATCTTCCAGGGTGAAGCGAGGCCTACGACCATGAAAACCAAGGCCTCTGTTGCCATGGGCACTTCGTCAGTCTCGCCTGGGCCAAGTGCTTGGCCGAAATCTACGTACCCGATGAACCTGCCTTTTGGGACATCCAAGCTTATTTCTTTTTTTATGGACATCCCGTCCAGCATGACGACACACAGCTTCTCCCGTTCAGAAGAGTTTTCATGGCGTCGCTGCAGCTTCCTAGTGCCTCCTTGGTGAATTTAGGCCACCCTCCAACAACTTTCAACCAACATCTGAGGGAGCTCACAGAAGGTAGGGGGAAGAGCGTGCTGACGTAGGCGTAGGCTTGGGGTGAGTAGTAGTGCAGGGTGGCTGCGAACTGCTTTGTTATTTTGGTGTACCTTCTGCCAGTCATTTTCCTGGTGGCGTTTTTTCTAAAGCCCTTCAGTAGTTCCTGCGGGATTTCTCCAAATGCTTCCAATCTTAGTTGAAGTTCATCTGTCAGTGCATGCTCCTCCTTCAGACATTCCAAAAGATATTGGAGATTTTTAACTTTTCGTTTGTTTCTTTTCAGGGTCCATTGCATTATGTGAATTTTCTTTTTTGCCGAATCTATTTTCTTGTTCATACGACGTCGTTTACTTTTTGGGGACTCTCCATCGAAGTAGGTGTGGTCACTTGAGCATGGTCTTGGTGCTGCGTCATCGGCAATCCGTGGTGCTGGACGCTTCCTTGGTGCCTATAAGAAAGAGACCAGTAGGTATACATTAACACATACACAATTTGTTCTAATGTATATGATCTAACGACTGGAAATAAAAGTGACATTACAAACTCCTCTGCTGCTATACATTATTTTTGCATTTACCACAATAATGCATGAAGCTCAAATTTTAGAAAAGCATGCATCATATTCACAACTGAATTCAATCTACTTGCAGTTCAGTATATATGTACATACCTTGACAGAACCAACGGTGGGTGCTGCATCTTCCTTGAGTCTTGCTTTCACATACAACCCATCCTTAAAGCACTGGAGCTCGAAGTACCGTGAGCAAAGGACATGATGTGCGGAAGGAGTGAAGTTGTCCGGACATACTTTTAACCACTTCTGCAGAAGGTTGTCATTTTTTTTAGGGAACCTGGAATATCAAATGAAGTGCTGCAGTGCAGGCCATATATGTACCAGCGGTTGCGCGCTATAGTTTTGATTTTTAGTGATATATAGTAATTAAATAAACCTGATTACTACTTACGTGTGAAATGATAATCCTGAGGCTCTTCCCTCGCGGTTCTTGCAATCCAGAGCTGCACACAACCTCGGCATTCCCGTATTTTAGCGACGTGAAGCGCTTTTGCCGCGATCAAATTTAACCGCGCGAGCGGGAAAGCAGAAAGCAGACGACATAACAGACCTCATGTAATTTTTATTGGATCTGTTCTCCTTGGAAAAGTTTGCGTTCAGTGAAACGAAAAAAAAAGGGGCGAAACAGAAAACTTATGCGCGCTAACAAACGGTATTAATATTATTATTATTTCATTAGTTGCGGTCGCCTTTGATTACCCTGCCGTATCGCGCACCGGTAGCCACCGGGCCCCCAGGTAAGGAGTACAGTGTAGGCGCCCGTGCCTCCCGGTATTTTTTAATGTTTTGGAACATATGAACATATATTGAACGATGCCACAAGACGATCTTCGGTTGCGTTTTCATGGGTAAGTACCACGGTAAATACGCAGGCTGGGGCAACAATCTCTGACATAATTGTGTAGTGTACACGTATATTTAGCTACTTTAGCACTCTGCTTTATGCCATGAAATCGACAGAAAAAACCTCTGTAAATGACAATTATTTGTATATGTGATTGAGAAATGCTATAAACTATTTGTCAGGTTTGATTTCTTCTCAATATTTACTTATATAATCGAGCGCAGAGAGAAAATGCGTGCGCTTTTTTCCATAGAAATGCATTACCGGAAGTCAGTTTCAGACTGGTTGCACCTCTAGTTGAACCTCTAGCGTACATTATAATAACTCTATGGTCGGCAGTAACTACTAACCATACTTAAGCATTACTGTGGTTCGATCGTTTCGACTATAAGAGTCAGTCGTTTTAATCTAAAACGATCCCAAAGAAAAACAACGATAGAAAATAACCGCTCTAAGATTGAAAGCCAACTTTATCGACTCGGAGGAAACAATTTTAGAGTCGTCTTCGCTGCCGCTTTAAATGAGCCGTGCCGCTGCCGCTGCGGCCGCGCCAGTGACGAGCTTCACGGCGATGGGGATGCCGGCCGCTCCCCAGCTCTGGAGGGTGGCGAAGAGGCTGCCCTTCGCAATCACTCCGCCCAGGAAGGTGGACTGGGCCCAGGCAGCCGTCGAACCGGCCGCGACTCCAGCAGAGCCGAAGCCCAGTGCACCCACGATAGCAGGAGCCACCACGGTGGCGGCGGCGAAGCCAACTGGAACCGAGCAAAAAAAGTGGAAGTCGTTTACCACTCCCTGTAACGCCGCATTGGAGCGCAGCTCTTGAGGAGGAGGAGGGAAGGGTACTGAGGGCCACGTGTTCTCGGGGGGGGGGGGGTCACGTGACCCCCCCCCCCCGAGGGCACGTGACCTTGGTGGGGTCACCTGGGGGCAAACACGTGCCCCCTCAGAGGTCACGTGACCTCGGGGTGTCACGTGACTCCCCAGGTCACGTGACCAAAATTTTTCCGCTAGATTTAACGGGGAAATTTTTTCCGCTAGATTTAGCGGGGAAATTTTTCCGCTAGATTTAGCGGGGAAATTTTTTCCGCTAGATTTAGCGGGGAAATTTTTCCGCTAGATTTAGCGGGGAAATTTTTTCCGCTAGATTTAGCGGGGAAATTTTTCCGCTAGATTTAGCGGGGAAATTTTTTCCGATAGATTTAGCGGGGAAATTTTTTCTGCTAGATTTAGCGGGGAAAGTTTTCCGCTAGATTTAGCGGGGAAATTTTTTCCGCTAGATTTAGCGGGGAAATTTTTCCGCTAGATTTAGCGGGGAAATTTTTTCCGCTAGATTTAGCGGGGAAAGTTTTCCGCTAGATTTAGCAGGGAAATTTTTTCCGCTAGATTTAGCGGGGAAATTTACCCATAATGCACCGCGCGGTTACGCCGACGGCGACGCCGCTCAAGCCGGAAACGGGCGCCTAAGAGCTGCGCTCTAAAAACAACTGCCTCATTAATTGTCAAGGGGGGGGGGGGGTTGCACTGTTCTCAGCTCTAGTAGTTTACAAGATCTACGGAAGAGCGGCGTTCGAAAACAGTCATTTGTTGCCTGCACGCGAGCAAGTACGGTGGGATTGCGGTCCATCAGCGACAACGCCTCTACGGGCGACCAAGGACCAGTTTTCGAACGACACCCATTTTGGGCAAAATTTAGCGAATAGTTTATGCTTACTATAAAAGGACACACGCAATAGAATAACTTTCCACCGCAGGCGATCTGAATCCAACGTTCCACGGGTTCCGCTGCGTCCGCTCATACGGGCAAAAATTGGGAAAGAGGAGGAGAGAAGAGCGCGCGGGAACGCCAACAAGCCGAGCTCTGACTCGAATGATTAGTGGATACACGCAACGCTTGTTTGTCTCTACTCGCTGTTCGAACGCCGGCGTCCGGCGTTTAGCGTTCGAACAGCGAGTAGACACAAAGCAAACTAGCGTTGCGCGTACCCTCTAATCATTCCAGTCAGAGCTCGGCTTGCTTGCGTCCCCGCGCGCTTTAATTTCCTCCTCTCCCTCAATTTCTACACGTATAAGGCGGGTGATAGCCTAGCCCGCACCACAGAGCGGACGCGCCACGAAATGAAGCCAGCCGTTCTATGAAGTTTGTCAACGGACTTCGACCTAGTAACGTTGGACGGGACAAACTTTATAGAGCCACTCAGAAGGCTACGCTTTGAGCGTAGCTCCACTGGAACCACCTTGGTGCTCGAAATCATTATTTCCAAGTATCAAAATCTTTATCTGAAATCACGGGAAACGCTTTTCCGCCTATCAAAAAGGGTCGAGCAATCCGCGACAAAGCAAGTGTGTCTGTCTTTGTGTGTATGTTTATATAGCCTGAAGTTAGTCTACCTCAACTGGCGACTTGTCTCTCAGCTGCTCAACTGATGAACAATTTAGTCAGTGTATTAAAACCCAGTGAAAACAGTGAAACTTGCCTTTGAGAACACATCATTTTTTACGAAAGCGCAGCGCCGCTCGAAGAAAGCACAACTCGTCGAAAACAAGTTTCGCCCGTCTCGCGGCGTGACCCAAGCTTCCTTGGCACGCTGAAGTGCTGCGTCTCTGTGCCTAAGCACGAGTCTCTGTGCCTCCGCACCTCCTGAAACTTTGGGGAAAAGACCCGTGCTAATCAAGAAATGGAGGAGAAACAAAACCAGAAGAGCTCTAAAACTCAATATAGAGCAGATCACAGAGGAAGCCCAGGTCTACGCACAAGACCTTGCCACGAACAACTGGCTAGAAATGTGCGACAACTTCAACGGGAAACTGCGTACGGTACGAGTCTGGCTAATCTTCAGATCGCTGCTTGGACAAACCAAACCCCAAAACAGCCTGCGTAAACTTAAGATTGCCACCAACAAAACACAGCGAGAAATCGCCAATGAACTAAGAGACCTCCTGTACGTAGAACATCCAAAATACTCTCCTTTAACAGAGTACAAAAGGAAGGAAGCAAAAGAAGATGAGAACGAAGGAATCGGCTCTCTCTTTACAATGGGGGAACTAAGAACAGCGTTGTTCTCGTTCACGCGGAACACCCCATTAGGCAAGGATGAGATCACATATCACATCCTCAAGAACCTCCCAGACAACTACTTTCAGTAGCTTCTTGATCACATTAACGAAGCATAAGAGACAGGAAAAATACCACAAGCATGGAAAGAAGCTAAAGTCCTCCCCATACCCAAACCCGAAAAGCCACCAAACAAAATCGAAAACCTCAGGCCTCTCTCTCTCTTACATCCTGTATAGGCAAGCCAGCAGAAGAAAAAAAAAAGGCCCTGAAGAGGCTAGGATTGCACCTAAAACACGCAAATGCCCTCTATGACACAATGATATGATTTCGCAAACACGTGACAACGCAAGATTCCATGCTGATTGAAACAAGAAGTCTGTGAACCATCTAGCACGACCCAGATCAGAACAATCGTTGGCGTAGACATCAACAAGGCTTTTGACAGCGTCACACATCAAGATGTACTAGAAAAACTAGAAAATACCAAACCCGCGCACAGGATGCACACCACATCACGAGCTTCCTAACGAATCGGACATTTGAAATACAAATTGACGAATATTCGAGTCCGCCATTTCCACTTCACAGAGGCGTGTCACAAGGAGCAATACTATCACCGGCGCTCTTCAACCTGGCACTAAAAGACCTCCCAAAGAAACTCCAGAACATCCCAGACCTAAACTTAAATTTCTACGCGAACATCATCTTGTGGTGCACCGCTGGCTCCCCCGGGCACCAAGAGACAGCACTACAAGAGGGCATCGATGCAATTCAAGAATACACGAAAAACATAGGTCTCCAAAGCTCGCCGATCAACATGGAATACACAGTAGTCATCAAAGGCAGACAAAAAGAAGCTGGGCCAGTCAGAGAACAAATTCGCCTGAAACTTGGCGAACAGACCATCGTTCTAAAAGCATGCAACGTTCGACCGTCGAGCAACATTAAAAAATTGGCATTCATCCTTCAAGAAGAGGGTAAAGCAGTACAATCGATGGACAGATGCACCAAACAAATTAACCAAATCACAGACATCAAAAGCCGAATCACAGGAAAGAAACGCGGTATGAAGGAGCACGAAATCAGAAAGATATTTGAAACACTCGTTACATCACGCGCCATGTACGCAGTTCCCTAAATGACCCTTACAAAAACCCCGGAAGAAAAACAAAACACTCAACTACGCAAAGTAACGAGATTAGCGCCAGGTGGTTCCCCGCTTTACCTCAATTATGATGATAAACCAAATGGGTATATTTAACCAATTAGACGACAGGGTCGACATAGATCAGCTTTCCCTAAAACAACGTCTACAAACCTCCAATCAAGGAAGATCCTGGAATTCCTCAACTATCTAACACATAACCTGCCCTCAATATGCGAACTCCTTCCCTCATGGGACACCATACCCAAAATAATAGTGCAACCCATTCCCAAGAATATGATCCAAGAAGCACATCAAGAAAGGCGGACTGTAAGAGCACGGCAGACAGAATAATACGTATTATCGCTACCGAAAACAGAACGGGTATACTTTACTGATGCCTGCTTCGACAAACTTTGACAAACTCACCAGAAAGGGACATGCAGGAGTAGTTGGACCAGACCTGAAGCTGGCAACCAAATACAACAATGCCTCTTCTGCCAGGCAATAACAAACGCAATCACCCAGGCGATAACCCAGGCGATAACAAACGCAATCACCCAGAGCAAAAACACCAGCAATATTCACACCCTCAGGGACAGCCGAAATGCTCTCCAAAGATTCACTAAAAATGCGCGTTACCAGAACATATAAAAATCGTTCTACAGGAACGCATGAATCCTAACCCCACACTCCATGTCACCATCAGATGGGTGCCTGATCACCGAGGCATCGACGGAAATGAAAAGGCAAACGAGCTAGACTGAGTAAATAGTCAACCGGGCCCCTCAACTCCCTGGCCATCCACCTACTACGCCTAGAACACAGAAAAGAACTACACTCGGAAGGAACCGATCTACTCCAACAATTCAGAGATAAAACACCACTTAACCAAGGCCATCCAAAGACGCCACTAGAAAACAATCAGACACCATCAGGAGGGTACAGACAGGAACACTCCTCAAAGAGCACTACAAACATTACATAAACGGGTTACCATCCGAAGAAGCGTGCCTCCTGCAAATGCCCAGCAACGAAGGACACAAGACTACAATACCTCACTCGCTTACTCCAACCCTTTAGACCATCCACCGGGAAGGAGTGCATCGCCCCCCGGAGGGGCACAGAGCACACCGTATGGATCGCACTGACGGAACTTAGAAGCGAAGTCTGCGGCGAAGAGGACTGATTGACGATGCCTTGGACGAAAGGCTTTAAGCAATAGAGTTTAATTTCTCTCTCTATCTCTAAGAATTAATTCAGGATTTTTTTTTTTAGAGTAGGGCGCCCCAACGCTTTGGGTATGCGCAGAAGTTCTGCGCATACCCTGTGTGACTCCCCAACCTGCCTTCAGGGAGCCCAAAGCGTCGGGGCTCCCTACTTTAAAACCCTCTATCCTGTTGTATGTATACACCTTTAGACACGTTTGATGTAAAGCGCCTCTCTAATCTCTCTCTATCTCTCTCTCGATTTTATCTTTTGCTTTTTTTTAATTTTGTTGCAGCCAAAAGTGGCTTACAGCCAGCGCATCGCCTGCAGTGGTCAGCAAGATGTCCCCCCGCGTTAGCGCGCACAGAAAGATTATGTTCCCGTGCCCTATCGTTAAAACAGCGGCAAGTTTCCCCGATTTAAACTTTTCCACAGCTTAACGGTATCTCGTATACGACATTAGTGACACATTCAGTGTACTGCACTGCGAGCTTCTTAGAGCAGAGCGTTTTTTTCAGCCGTGTAAGCATCGGACAGATTTTCGAGAGCTTGCAAGGGGCCGAGAAAACAACGTTTACATCGTATCTGCTAGCTATTTTTTTAATGGTGTGGGCTAGAGCCACTAAATAAGCTGCGCTTAGAGTATCGGCACTCCGTTCCGCGACATTGTTGTGGGCGCCGCCATTTTGGCTCGTATGCAGAACAGACGCAACTGCCGATCATCATGATTCAAAAGTGCGACATCCTCAGCATTAGATTCGGTGTTAGGAAGGTCATGTAATATTTCTTTGCTCTGTCGCGAACGGTTTAAACATTTGTGGAGGGCAGAAAAACATTTCCTGTGATTTCAGATAAAGCTTCAGATAACTGGCAACCATGATTTTAAGACACAATATGGCCAAGTGTCGTTACTCTGAAGCGTAGCTTATTTAGTGGCACTAGTGAGGGCCTTTTTATGGCCAATATGAAATCACATGTACACGTCTTTTAACCTTTTTTTTTTTTTTTGGCTGCACCCTTGTAGGTTTGCTACTTTTGGCAAGAGCGGCCTGAAGACACGTTAAGGCTATACCTCTTTTTACCAGTTTGGAATGTGCACTTTTGTAAGAAACAAGGCTTTTCTTGGAACGCAGCTATACTTCCTACAAACATGGTCGTCGGAAGACATGATCACAAGGTCCAAAAAACGAATTCAGTTCAGCACGAGCATTTCTAATGTAAACTTAAGTCCACCTGACGCCTCCTTAAAAACGTCAAAAGGTCCTCGGAACAACCTCATCCAAACTCGAATCCGTGTCTAAAATTGAAAGATAATTGTCAACATATCTGAACACTGTACATGCAAATTAGGAAGGCATTCCGAAATGCGCCTGTCCGATGACGATAAAAATATATTACATAAACCAGGGGCAACCGACGAGCCAATAAAGACACCAGATTTCTGTACAAAGAAACGTTCAGTGTAACTGACGGCAGCGGACTGAAGGTAAAAGAGCACCAACTCTAAAAAATGGTCGCTACTAACGCCCGCAGAACTTTGAAAGTTGACCTCTCCTAACTCGTCTATTTTATCCCGAACAGCTCGGATCGAGCAGCCTGACGTGAGGCACAGAATAATGAAGATTCCTCAACATCTAAAAACAACGCCGAGAGGGCATTTTTATACTCCTCTCTAAACACTTTAATAACTTCATCCCAGCTTCGTACAAAAAAAGGGTCCTACAGAGCCAGTGTCTCCAGGTGGCGCTGTAGATAACGGCTAACTCTAAATTGCCAAGTGTTCTTCTCAGAAACAGTGACTCGGAAGGGACAATCAGGCTTGTGCGTTTTTCCTGTAAAAAAACACTTGCATTTCTAAAATTATGTTGCGTGTCTGTTTATGCAGCCTTGACGCCTCAACGAGTGACCGGTCTCTAAGCTGTAGATGAGAAATTTAGCGAGTGCAGTACAATCGCTAACCTGTGGTTTTTAACCTGCATCACGTAGTAGTGATTACACGAACGCGTGCCGGTACATCCAGATAGAAACGGGCGGTGGGTGGGGATTGAACCCAGGAAGTTCTGCAGCGCAAGCTTTCGCTCCCCGCTCCGAACTGAGACGCGTTAGCCCACCCGGCCATCGATTCACCATACTCCAAAAAATACAAAAGAAGTAACCTACAAGGCTACAGCCAGACAAATCAAGTTAAATCAGGTTCCATATTGGCATAAAGTGTCCTGCAACATTAAAAAGATGGCTAGCAGCTGCGATGTACTCTTCGTTTTCTCGGCCGCTTGCAAGGTCTCGAAAACCTGTCCGATGCTTACACGGCAGAAAAAAAAACGCTCTGCTGTAAGAAGCACGCAGTACAGTGCACTGAATGTGTCACCAATGTCGTATTCGAGATACCGTTAAGCTATAGAAAAATTTACATCGGGCAAATTGGTCGCTGTTTTAACGATAGGGCACGGGAGCATAATCTTTCTGTGCGCAACAACCCGGGGGAACATCTTGCTGACTACTGCAGGAGATGCGCTGACTGTAAGGCTCGTTTGGCTGCAATAAAATATTAAAAAAGCAAGACATAACACCGAGAGAGTTTATAGGGGCGTTTTACATCAAAAGGAGAGATGACAATTGCGGTAGCATGCCTTCTCTTTTTCTTCTCCAAAAAGAAGTAATTTTTCTAGATTAGCTGCCAGTGAGAGTGGTGATTGGTTATATTGCAGGTGTGGCAAAATATTTCGTGATGAGTGATATTTTTCCAATTAAATTAGTTGTGAGTTAGCGCCCGTCCTGTCGTTTTTGTGACATTATTGTCCTTGTTCTGTTTGCGCTTTTTAACCTTTTAAATAAGTCGTCTGGCTGCTCTCAACTACACTTCAACATTGATTTAAAATCCTAAATTGTACATAAATTAGGCATTCTAATTCAGCCAAGGCAAAAAAAAATTAATTTGTTGCCATTTTGAATTTTTCAAAACTATAGCGCATGGGAATGAACAAAACCGATTAATCGATTAATTACCCGATTAAGTCATGTCGTGTATTCTCAAAATAATCCGGATTTGAGCCTCCAGTAGCTTCTTTCGGTGGCCACCAACAATGAAGGACTACTTTTACTTTAAACTGCCGCGATAAAGCGAGCACTAACAATCTCGGTGGTGCAGAAAAACAATACAACACCTTGTTCGTGTTGTACCCAGAACTCAGCTTCCGTACCCACCACTACTGAAGCAGGCAAAAGAAAGGCACGAACAATGACGAGCGTAAGATGCCGTGCAATGAATTCTCGACGGTCACACGAGGAAAGATCAAATAGTTGGGTTACTTTCAGGAAAAGTTCCGTCACAAACAAAATTATTGACATCGGGTAGTTCCAAAGAAAAGATATAGCGAAGTATAATTGCTTTTTTTTCTAAAGTAATTAATTGCGCTGTGACATGTAGCAACAAAAATTGAGATTAAACAATTTCTGGAGCAAAATCCTGATAATCGCACTTAAAATACATTTTCGAAGTAATTCACCACGTAAGCAAACTGACGCCAAGCTTTTGTCGTATGCAATTAAGTGACAAGAGCCCGTGCATTTAATACTTTTTTAACACCAATATCGTTTAACGACCGTGTCTATTTTGTCAGCTTTTTGCTTTGGTCATGTCGCTCACATCTCCCTACCGAAGCGCAGATAATGGGATGAGGTATGAGTTAACTCTTGCCGGCAACTAATCCACTTTATTGGAAGCGAAGTTTCACCGCATCTGGCGGTCAAAACATAAAGCTGAACCCTGCTCCCTTCCTCAGTGCCATGCTATTTTATTAAACTGGGCATTTACGAGCGCTCAAACCACAATTTTTGATGATAATCAAAACAGGTCATGTTACCTGCGCCCAATACAATCGCAGAAGCTTCAAGCATCGTTGTAACCTGCAAATATAAAGAAACAATACATGCTCATTAGTTTACGTAGTTACGACCTACGAAACTAATAGTGTTTTGGGTGACATTTCTCCGAGGGAGAGCTGAGTTGATGCGCAAAAGCGGACAATATAAATTAGCGCTTTAGTAGACTTTGCTCTCTGCCATTTTTGTCCCACAGCGGTGATGTCGATAATCTAGGCAAGTTTCCGTGTTTCGTTTTATTTAAGCCTAAATGACAATACAAAAAAATATGTCTCTATATATTGGTTAACAAGTTTCAGGCTTCCTTTCATACTTTTAGTACAAAGCGTAGCCCGTACAAGTAAAAAACGTACCCCCCCCCCCCCCCAAAAAAAAAAAAAAGAGGACAAACAATAGTTTTTTGTTGTTTGTTTTTTTCACCGCGGAACTGCGCTACGCACCGCTGAACGTTCACTCAACACGAAAATTGTAGCTCAATGCGCTCGAACCAGATGTCAACGTGCAGGAAATCACTTTTTAGTATGTCACTAAAAAGTGATTTGCTGCACTTTTTAATAGGAAAGTGGTGGCCGCCAAATCCCACATGGTTCTTAACGGCTCCGCTACCAAGAGCGGGCCCCATCTCCCCATTAAAGTTCAATGAAGGTTGTATTTTTGTGGTAAGGTGTACGTTGGCCAGACGGGGAGGTGCATTAATGATAGGGTCAGAGAGCATGCGTTGGCGATCAGGCAGTCCCCGTCTGGCCACTTAGCGGTCCACTGTGACCGTTGCGATTGCGGGCCCAACTCTGAAAAGTGCTGCCCCATCTTTGGTGACACCTGTGTCATGGGCCGTTACAAAACAAAAACGGCAAGAGAAATTCACGAAGCCTTCCTGATTAGGTCCCACCACGACAATACTTGTATAAGCGCTCCCTCCTTGTCGTTGACTGATAAAGAATTCTACTATTTGAAGAACCAATGACGCTGGCATTTGAGGGGTGTGTGTTTTTAGACCATATCTTTAGTGTTCTGCCAAGTGTGCCTGCTTTTATATTTTTTTTTTAATTCTGTCATCCAAATAAACAAATCAGTTGAAAGTTACGCTGCGTCCTGTCTAGTTCTCCCTTCGTTTTTTGTCCCTGTTGTTTTGGCTTATTACACCATGATGCAAAGCCAACTAGCCCACCATCCTCATCCAATGTATTTTTTTACATGATTGTTGGAATGTACGGGATTTTGTTTTAGATTTGTGTGTCTTTCTAAGCGTATAATTCTTCTCTGGTAGTTTTTTTTACTGTAGTTTGCAATACATAGTGTGTATGATTTTATTTTCTGTATTTTATTTCCGCTTGCTGTTGACCGCTGTAAGGGCCCAAGGGCTTGCAAAGCAGTACACCATAGCCTTTCCCCCCCCCCTTTTTTTTGAGAGAGAGAGAGGGGATTATAATTGGTAAAAGAATAAATCTTTTAATATTTATATAAGAATATGATGCTATATTGGGCAACCACAGGCTATCGTTTTTCGAAGTTTCTGGAGGTTCAGTATGTTTTTGACCGTCTCGTAGTATATGAAACGGGATAGCCTGTCGCCTTTCTGGCCCCTGTATCCCCTAGTGTACTCATCGTGTGGATAGCGGGAAAGTCGAGATGCGAGCAATTTTCATACTGTGCGTGCCCGCGTCTCGACTTGCTGTTGGTTTACGAGGACAGGCGCCTCCTGGTTCACCTTTGCTTGGAAACTCGGGCTTCCAGGGAAACTTTTTTTGTTCTTCATTTTGTATCGAAACTATAGGCTGGCGTTCGTCACGCCACTGACCCCACCAGCGGCTTGAAGATATATGCTTCGAGCAGTATACAGCTCTCCAACGCACATCGCGGCCGGGTTCGTAGATTTTATTTCCGCAAAAGTAGCGCAGCCGCCCGGCGAACAGCGGCGGCATGAACGCCGAGGAAGACTGTATTTACGAGCACCCCGCTGTGCGCTATAGCCTAACAAAATTTAGGCTCGAAGTCGTTAGCGTACCGTGGCGCCGTAAAACGAAAACAAATTCGATATGTTCGATTGGCTTTCCACAAAGTAATGTAAATATATATATATATAGATATATATATATATATATATATATTGTTTTTTGCCTTCACGTAATTGCTGTTTCTATTCGTTTGATTTACTTCCAGCGTTGTAAAAGTTTTAAGACGTCAACGTCGTAAAAACTTCTTCTTTTTTAATTTGTGACGACACCGCGGTGGGAGAGACGTGCTCACTTTTTTCAGGGGCTCGTCCAACTTAAGATGTTCAATTCATAAATATGAGGCTTTCAAGTATAAAACTTGGAATTCAATATATCCATATAGGCGACTCTTTCTGATCACCTTTCGCCCTTATAAAATAGTTTAAAGGAGATCGCGCAGATTTTTATGCCTTTCAAATAAAGCCGTGACTTGGCGATCGTGACCTTTTTCTGTAAGCAAACAACGACGCCGTCGCTTTAGGGACCCTACAGGAACGAGTAATGCACGTTGCTTTCTTTGGAAACCAGTACCAACTCCAAGCATTTAGTTACATTTTTGTCTGAGGACCACGTGGAACATCAAGCTCGTTTGCACACCCGACCCTTGTTGCTCTTGGCCTTTGCTTCCTTCCAAAGGCCACGGACGGTCGCAAAGTGGGGCAGTGTCCGCGTTTATCTTCATGAACGTCAAAATCTAGGCATTGTCGAGTTGTTTTTCAGCCGCTTAGTTCGCTATTTTTACCGCATTTGTAGTTGCAAGATGCGCTTAAGAAATATGCGTCCTTTATTCGCATCGCGAAGCACGCTAGGTCACTCACTCTGGCTGCTAGATGAGCTCCGAATGCGCGGTTGTCATTTCGAAGTACATATATAGTAGCCTGGCTGGTATCGGATGTGACACTCAAACTTCTCGGCGCCAATAAGATTATAAGATTAATGTTTCCACACACACTTATGCGGATAATTAGATTTGTAATTAAAAAAATGAGAAATTAATTAATAAAAATATATTTGTCATTTTCTTTTTCCTTTTTTAAAAAGCTTACATTATAAGAACGAAAATTCCAATTGTATTCTAATAGGCATAACCTCTTGATAGAACATCAACATAGATTTATACAATTCAGCTAAAAAAAAGGACTTGACCATTTAGAAAAGAAAGAGCTCGAGGTACACCTAAGCATTTCTTATGAGTTGTGAATGCGAAAGCATGTACATCAACCTTGCTGTAGATGGTTGAGCGTGTTGGTTTCTAATCTACGATAAGAGGGACATTGAAGACAAACAGAGAAGACAGGCTTTCGACTTTCGCTGTTGGCGCACTGACTGGCGCTGACGGACAAGCAGCGCCATGCAGTGGCCGGTCGTTGAAACTGACGCGCACTGTCAGTTTCAACGACCGGCCAGCCCATGGCGCTGCGTGTCCGACGAATGGGTGCCTGGTCGTCGCAGGCTAGCCGCGATGTAAAAGGTACCGTTGGCTGTGGACGCGCGCTAGCTGCGCGTGCCTCTCTATGGCGCGTACACGACTGCCCCCCCCCCCCCCCCAAGATCTCCTTTTACAAAGCCTACTCACACACGCGCTAGCCAATGGGATCGAAGCGGTGCAAAAAGAGCCGTTTGGCTCTTTCGCTCCATAAAACAGATAAAACTTTCGTATTTAAAAAAAATAATAATAATAAAAACAGAACACTGTTAGTTTTTTTTTTTTTTTTAATTTCAGTAAAGCGTTTGACTGTCTCGACAGTGGAATCTATTTTGATAAATTAAGTCAATGTGGCTCTCAATGTGTTTCTGTTTCCATTAGTGACGGACCGAATCTGCCGAACTTCATATTCGGCAAAGATTCGGCAAATGTCTGCGTACGCGCGAGAACGCGACGGGGCCTTGGATTGCAAATGGACGACGTGCGGTCACCATCGTACGGTGCAATACAACCAGCGGTTACGGCGAGGCGTGGAGTAGGCAACACGGTAACTGCGCGTTTGTGAGCCTTTGCGAGTGTGGTTCTCTTCAATATTTTCTGCCTCAAGAACAGAAGATCGACCAGTAATTTACGCAGTCCACTGTGCAAGTGACAAATGATGCGGTACATTCTGGATAACGTGGTTTTCATTTCACCTTGTGGTCGGTTTGCCTTGCTGCATACCCGACCCGGAGGAATAACACGCAGCCAACGGTTTCAACAACAAGAAACTACATTTAATGGGACATGGACGAGACGATTAACATGGTTACCTTTACAGTGATGCAATGAGGTAGTTGAAGCATTGACTGACAATTACTTTAAAGCACTCCTCGCAATTGTATAACAATTCTGTTTTCAGCTCATAAGTAGTTTGCGCTAAAACAAACTAATATTGATTTTCGCAGTTTTTATGTATCTGCATAAAACTAAACACAGAACTATCATGCTCGACGTTGTACATCCGACATACTTAAAGGGATACTACAACGAAATTTCGGCGCTCATTTGTTGGTCTATATGTTTCAAAAGAGCAGTATCACATGAAACATACCAATATCTTAGTAAAAAAAAGTCTCGAAAAGGAATTTTAAAACGAATTAAACGATTAGCAAAGAGCACCTGGTGGATGTCGTTAACGCCTCGTTTGTAATGATCGTCTAGGAACCTTGGCAGCTAGTGACGGAGGTCGTCTCGTCTCCGGCCACGACGAAAGAAGAGGGGCAGGAGGAACTCCCCTCTTTCCGAGAATCCCTTTTGTGTGTCACAGAAGTCGCTATTGTACCCCTACAAGATTATAGAAGATTAACCCGTCACTCAAAATTCGTACAAAAGCAGCCGCTTCGGTGGCTGGAACGACTAGGCCATCCTCTCGACGTCAGCCTCGCCGTAGCTTTGCTCGTCTTGAGACAACCTACGTCACGATTGCGTTGGATGTCACGTGCTCTAAGCTGGGCCTTCTCCGAGCGCTTGCCAGAGTGGGCCGTTTATAACGAAAAATACAGCCACCAGGATCAAAATACAAACGTGCGATTGTCATTTACGGATATTGTGGATCATAATCAAC